AAGAGATCCATTCACTGGTGCAATGCTCGTGTTCTGGAAGACCCAAAACGGGTAGGCGGTTTGGGATTTTGAAATTTCCATCTTTTTAATCTGGCTCTTGTTGGTAAACAGGTTTAGAGAATGTTGACGAATCCGGATGCCTTGTGGGTCAAGCTACTCAAAGGCCTTTATTTCCGGACGTAGATTTCCTTTCGTCTAGGAAAGGAAGGTGTCGTTCCTGGATTTGGAATGACATATGCGACACCAAGGAAACACTCAAACCGGATATTATTAGAGGGATCATGTCAGGAACTGAAACTAACTTCCCTACTGATCCATGAATTCCCTTTATCCCATCATTATCACTGAGGGACTTCATTCTTCCACCGTCATGGGTCTCAGATTGGATCAATCAAGATGATCGTTCTTGGGATGTTGAGGCCATTCGAGGAGTCCTTGATGAGAGTACTACTGAAGCTATTATGCGGATTCCAGTGGGACTTGCTGAAGCTCATGATGGCTGGGTTTGGAAACACAACAAGAATGGCAACTATTGTACTAAGTCAGCATATCATATCCTTAGGGCGAGACGTGATCATCAGGTTGCTGATTCGAAAATTTTTGACTGGAAAAGGTTATGGTCCCTTTCTCTGCCACCTAAGATGAGATTCTTCATCTGGAAGTGTGCTAAGAAGGCTATCACCACTAGGGAGAGGTTATTATCCAGATCAAGTGCTCCTAACCCCATGTGCCCTCTTTGTGATGCACCTTCGGAAACAGTGATGCATTGCCTCTTCTTTTGCCACCATACTTCTGCTACTTGGGGGCTCTCTGATTCACTCCATAACCTCCCTCTAGAGAACTCATCCTTTGGTGAGTGGTTCTTTAATTTCCAAAACACCTATTCCAACACTCAGGTCCACATGATTGTGTGCTGCTTATGGAGTATTTGGATTGCTCGCAATACTTTCGTGTTTGAAGAAAAGGCTCCTACCCCGGCCTCTTCTGTGATTGTGTCGGGTCGTGATTTCTTGCTAATAGAGGATGCTAGGAAGACTCCGTCGAGCTCTCCTTTCTATCGTACGACACAATCTCACTCCCAGCCTAGGGGTCCCAGTTCGAACCCTTTACCACCGCCCCTCCCATTTTCATGGTTGATGTATTGTGACGATTCCTTTGTCTCAGATTCATCATTGGCGACATATGCGATTACTATTGCTAATGCCCATGGTCAAGTGTACGACGACAATGTTGATTCTTTCCTCTGTTCCCATCCTATTCAAGCGGAAGCCTTTGGTATACTCAATGCCATCTTGATTGCAGTGCAAGACACAGAACCTACCCGCATCCGAACAGACTGTCAGGTTCTTACTCTTGCTCTTCGTCAAGACCCTTCTCTTTGGCCTTGGCAATGTCGTGCGACGATTGCTCGCATGGTGTCGGTCATCCATTCTACTCCATAGATTAAGGTCGAGTTCGTTACTCGGCGTCTGAATTCACTCGCGGATTGGGTTGCTGGCCAAGCTCGACTGAATACATTACCGGTGGACTGGATTGTAATTTGTGATATTATTGCTCCACTCTTGTAATGTTACTGGCTTCCCTTCTTGGGATTGGAATAAGAGGATTACTTGTTCAAAAAGATTGAATGGCAGGGAAGTGGAACTAAAGCCGAAGCATGTATCCGTCCTTCACCAACAATCGATCGACTTCCTTCTGGTTTCTAATCCTATCTCAGATTCTCAAAAGCTCAACTTCATCTTTCCCGGGTTCTCCAACGATTCCTTCTAATTATATCTCTTCATCCTCACCAATCTTAGAATCCCTAGCACCATGCCCTGCCTGTTGGCTAGGGAGTTTGATTATTATGTATGTTGTATGTGTTGTAACCACTTATAATGTGTGTAAATAGTGAAGATAATTATGCATTTGTGTATGTGTTGTTACTACTTATAATGCGTATAAATATCAAAGATATGGAACTGATAGCGATATACATGTTTACAAATAAAGCATTATAATTGATCTGTGATATAGTCCAACATATCAATGAAAATGTTTTCCAATATTTATCATATTTGTTGATGACGACACATGCTATAGATATGAAATTGAATGATTTGAAAGGCCACGTTGCGAATTGATAGCCAAAGACGAATGACCTAAAATGATAGGTAAATTCTCCAAATTACCCTTCCGTGAAACCCTCACAGGCCTGGGAATTCAAATCTCTAGAAATCCAATCCATGTTTTGCCTTTATGTATCTTGTAGATGTAGAAATATAAATAACTTAAGATAAAATATAAATATAGAAGCATCATCACCAAACATATTCCTAGAGTTTAATCAAAGAAACAACAATAATAAAATGTAGCCTAGTTGGTTATAATGTTGTTTCGTCATTTAGGTCACAAGGTTCGAACTCCAATGATAACAATTTTAATATATAAACATGAACTGAGTGCAATGACAAAAATGATCTTCCTAGAATCACTCTCAGGCCACGAAATTTGAAATGGGAGAATTCCAACCCATGTTTTGGCTTTATGTATCTTGTAGATTATCTTCTCAATGCCGTTACAACGTCTCTGGCGGGATCTTTTATAGAGCTGTCAAATATCCCAACCAGTCCTTACAATTATCTAATTCACTCCCTATCTTAACAATCTGTATATTTAAGGTCGTTACATCAAAGGGGAGATAGCTCGACGACGGGGAAAAGCAGGGGATTATTTCTGGGTAGAGATTTTCCTACCTCACATGCCGCACTCGTTGGATTGGGGGTTTGGATTCGGCGACGAACAGATGGGGAGGATCTTCCTTTTGGCTTCGACGAGACTGTATGGCGATTGCGATGAATCGCTCGCACTCAAAGGAGAAGGAGAAGAAGAAGAAGAAGTCGATGCAGCGGTCCGATGGTTCAGAGAGGAAGAAGAAAACGTCTGACGAGGAAGAAGAGGAAGGGCCACGCCAGAGAGGGTATATGGATTATTAGAGAGAAGCAGGAAATTGATGGCCCATTATAAAATGTATTTATAATAATTAAAAACAATGAAATTACACTTTAGTTAGCCACCTAAGATCCAAGTGAGCACAATATTCGCCAACTCATCGTCACTTAACGGAAGTATTAGCAGAGACTTAACGGTTGGCTCATTATTTAAATTTCGATAGGTTTGACTATTATTTTGGAATGGAGAAAAGGTTTGGCTAGTATTTACCCAAAAAGTTTCATCATTCACCCAAATAATGTATATTTTCAACCAATTTTATTTGTTATTCGTATAGATTTACTTGTATTCATGTAAATATCCTATTTTTTCACGTAATCTCATCTATCAATCAATTGATTTTACATTCAATCTTATAAATTCAATTAGCAAATTATATAGTATCGCTAACCACTTAGTAATTCATGATCGGTGAAACCAAAGGAAAAATCTCAATAGTTTAATAAAAATGAGACGGCGAGGCATTGTTTTTTTTTTTTCTCGTTGTGAGACAAACGGCTTTTTTCAATCAATAATACGACTGGACATAGTTCTACAAAAAATATTGTGCATGACTCAATATCTTACATTGAGATCAGAGTGATTAGTGATTAGTGATGGCAATTACCCATTCATGGGTAATTATACCAAACCTAAGTAGAGTCATTGGGAATGGGTTGGGTATGACTGAAGTGCATATGAGTTTGGGTAATGTACTAATATTGCTTTCATAATCTAAACGAGTATGGGTTGGATATGGATATTCATTTACTTGAGGGTATTTTAACTACACATACAAAAATTGGACCTATTTGTAAAACTTAAAAAGTAAGACAAAAAAATTTAGGTACTAAAATATAAATTTTCATCAATATTTTGAGGACTTATATGCAAAAAAAATTAAAATTTTGGTACTAAATATGCATATCTATTAAATTTAGGTACCGAACTGTAATTTGCATTTGGGCATGGGTTCAAACTAGGGGTGGCTATTTGGTCTGGGCTTTTTGGTTTTATCCAAAATCGGACTGTATAACCCGGACCGAGACTGGATCGGGACCGGATAGCAAACAATCCAATATCATCTTCGGGCTTAGATTAGAGGTAAAAAACTCGTTCGGGACCATATCAAAAACCGGATAAAGACCTGATAAGAGAGTCCGACACCCAAAATTTAACCAACTCCTCACCCTTTGAGGCCTCAGGCCACTCAAATCCCCACAAGTTCAATCTAAAATCAAGAAAGAATTGGGACCGGACCGGGTTAAGACCAGACTGTATTCAATCCAATCTTTGGTGATTATATTCCCGAAAAAACCGAACTGAAACCGGATCAATTTGGGTCAATTTAACCAGACCGAACCGTATAGCCACCCCTAGTTCAAATCTAAATTCATTTGTTAAAAACTCAACCCAACCCAACCCAAGCAATTGGATATGGGTACAAACCCATCAAACTCTACTCATATCCATCTATTTAGATTTTAAATTTCATACACAATCCAATTGAGTTGGATAGTAAAATACCTGAGGAAAATTGTCGTCATCACTAAGAGTGATCATGGCATATTACGGTGGCAGAGACATGAAAAAGATTTTATGTCTTGATTTTTAAGTGCTTTTGAGACATTTTTAAGTGCGTTTGAATAGACAGTAGTCGAAATCGAAAGGCCATACGAAGAATCCCGATGCAAGACGATCGAATCGAAAGGCCACATAATCAGGGCCATAACATCACACATTTACAGGTCAAAGCTCATTAAATAGATACTGAGCAGCAGTAGCCGTCGAGGACTGTCGTTTCTCCTAAACCCATGAATTAACTTGTCCTGCTTTGGCAGCTAACCCCCATTATTATTCACTGTCGTCAATCCTTAAGCCCACAAGATGAATATCCCATCTCAATTCATAGTACTATAAATAGGGTCGAGTTTTGCATATTTTGAACCATCACATTATAAGCAGTACCATCTAATCTGGCATATATAATCACCACATACTGAATAAGAAAATGATGATGATGATGATGGGGAAGAAGTCTACAGACATGAAAGCTGCAGGAAGGACTGCTCTCATCTTCCTCATTGTGGTCGCTCTGTTTCTAGCTTCAGGCGACAACAACAGCATCAGTAAGTTCAGCAATCATTTCCTTCTTTTCATAAGCAATCATTGTTTTCTTATATATATATGATGGGATTTGGACACGGGGGAAAAATTGCAGTGGTGGGAGGCACAACTTGCAGCAAGAGGAGACACTCGCTTTCCTCCTCAGAGACCTGCTGCTCAATAGCAGCTAGTACCGGATTGAAGCTGCAGAAGCTGCTGAAATTGAACCCGGGAATCGACTGCGAAAGTAACCTCCAAGGCCAACTAATCTGCATTCAGGGCTAGCTAGCTAGCTATCTATCTAGGTTCTACAACCAGTATTCCCCACTTTGGTTACAATGTGCTGATATACCACTACTGCAATACTCTTTCCTTTTTGCTTTTGGACTTGTATCAGCAATCAGTATCAACGTTATTACGTTTCTTCAGAATGATCGATGTTTTGAGCTTTGTAGTTGGCTAAGGCTTCCCTATGTTGCTGGTTTATTTCTAAAGGTAAAACTCCTCTGGAGTTGTTTGCTGGGAAATACCCCATGTATTTGATGAGCTTGCTTATCTTTCATGTGAAATTCTATCGCAATTTGAAAAATCGTCTCAATTAGGATTGAGGACTTGGAGGCATTTGCTCGTCTAACTACTACGATTACTCTTATCCGAAATTTGCACAAGAAATGTTGATAATCAATGATGTTGGCTTGTTACGAATAGAATAGGAGGAGTAATACTTGACTTGGAATTAAGCGAACAAGGTATGGATTGATGTTCGGCCAATATCCAAATCTTAGTGTGCACCCACCCTATACATGATCCTAAATTATGTCACTCTGTAGATTGTCGTCTTATTAATACTTTTGTACGACGGGTTCTTGACTAAAAACTTTGGTGGATGATTCTACATGATTTTTCATACAATTATTTTCTTATTGTTTATGACGAGTGGAGAGCTCCGCAAAGTCGTTCGAAACTATCTCATCCCTTAGATACTAGACAAATTAGCAATTTCACATTCAACTGTCATTGTATTTTTTTTTTTTTTCTCTTTTTCATTTAGTTGAGTTCTCCACTCAAAATGTCATTAATTGAATAAATTTGTATGCCTATTATTACCATATATGGATGGATTTAAATTTTAAAATATAGTATAGACCTTAAATAACCGGCTTCTACATAAACAATTAACCTAACAGTTTGTATCCATGGAAATGATTAACAAAATTTCTAAATACATCGATTCTACCCATTATCATCCACAATAATTAGGTATGAGATTATGAAAAAAGTGTTTAGGAGAGGTGTTTTTCTTGCAAAATTATGTCAGACCTTTGGTCCCACCCACCATAGTAATTAGTAGCCCTTCTACTAATTATTCTTTTCCTTTTCTGGCAGAGTTCCATTTATCTTGACAGCAGCCATTAATTGAGGACCATGTGAAATAGTTTCAGTTTTTGCCCCTTCTTCCCCTTTTCCCTCCTCATTATTCTATCAACAAAAGACCAATCCATATCCAATTATCCATTCTCAAGCTCTCCTTTTCACTCAAGATATCTTTGTCTCTTCCTCTTCTTCTTCCACAAATCCCAACTTGCTTGATGTCATGGGTTCTGTCACTAAAGCTCCTTCCTTTTTGAGTTCCTTTATTTACTGAAAAACTGGTTCTGGCTGGTTATGTCATGTACTCATGTGAAAGCGGCTGGTGCCCTTCTGTCACCTATTTTCTGCGCTCACTCACGGTTTCTCGCTGCACCAAGCTAGACTTGTCTTCACGTTTAGTCATTGAAGAACAAACTACTAGCTCCAAACTAGGTCTTTGAAGGCTTAATAGCGATATTAATGACCAGCACAACTGGATTTGCGAATCTTTCTTCCTTGATTATAATAATGATTCCATTGAAACAGCTAAGATGGTATGGCAGGCAGTAAACAGGCAATGGGGTGTTCTTCATTTTCTTTTCTTTTCCCTCCCAACCACTCATTTACTTCCCACTTGTTTATTCATGGAGGATAAGAGTCAACTCTGCAGTTCTTCCCCAATCACTGCACCTCAAAGGCCATTTTGTTGAATTTCATTGCTTCTGGCCATTGATGAATGAATCAAGTTGGTCATGAACAGATAAAAGCATGCTTGACTAAGGAGGAAAGAAAATGACTGCAAAAACAAATATTTCCCTGATTCAAACTTCAACTGGGATTGTTATGAGTGGGAACAAGGTGGGAACACGAATTGTTTCTTTAAGGAGAAAAGAAAGGGGACATCCCATTCTGGGAGCTGACTTCTTCAACAGGTGGTTGATGTCCACTACCATATGAATGAGAAAGACAATAATATGCTTGCGGCCGTGCCAACCCAGGAAGCAAGTTCGCATCTTTCTTAGGAGCACGATGTCCCTGTGAAATAAGATTTTGATTGAAAGGACCTCTGTTTTTTGGACTCGGGGTTTGGCACCATGGGAGGAGGAGGAGGAGCTTGTGCTATTGTCTTTCTGTTATTCAACCTTTTGCTGCTTTCTCGCAATTCATTCTCTCACCCCTTGTGTATTGATTCAAGTAAGTTTCTTCACTCTTTTGTGGTTTCTATGTTCCGTTCTTCAATTCCAGTTTGGCACTTCCTCTCTGTTTTTTATCTCTGCAGAACTGATTTGCTGCTCTGTTTTTTTCTGGACTATGTGTTGCTTGCAGCGGCTCCTTTGACCTTGAATGCCTCTCTCAGTTTCTGTGGCTACGATGGAAGCTCCTGCTGCAACTCTGCACAAGATTCCCAATTGGCAAAGCAGTTTCAGGCCATGAAAATCTCTAACCCTGGATGTTCATCTCTACTCAAATCAGTCGTTTGCTCTGTAAGACAGAACCCTTTTGCCTCCCCCCACACTTCCATTTGCAGGAAAAAGAGAACAGAAAACTAAAAAGTTCATATCTTTCTTGATTTAATCATCTACCCATCAATTCTTAGTGATTATTCCCCATCTGGGTTTCCGTGGTTTTTTGTTTTCGTCAGAGATGCGATCCATTTGCAGCAGAATTGTATCCAGCGAAACGCCCTGTTCCTGTTCTCTGCAACTCAACCGTTGCAGCAACTTCATCACAGTCAAACCAAGCAGACACAAACTTCTGTTCCCAGCTGTGGGATACATGTCAAAATGTCTCCATGCTCAACTCTCCTTTTGCTCCTTCACTAGGAGGCCAAGCTGGATTACCAAACAACTCCAATTCTACCAAGCTCACTGACCTCTGGCAGTCCAAATCCGATTTCTGCACCGCATTTGGTGGTGAATCTGCAGATGATTCAGTTTGCTTCGGTGGAGAACCGGTTCAACTCAATACCACCGGAACAAGTACTCCCCCAGCGCCACCAAATGGCCTCTGCCTGGAGAAAATTGGCAACGGTTCATATCTGAACATGGCTGCTCACCCTGACGGGTCGAACCGAGCATTCTTTGCCAACCAACCCGGTCAGATTTGGATGGCTACTATACCAGACCAAGGGTCCAAGACAACAATGGGAGTCGATGAAGCCAGCCCTTTTCTTGATCTAACTGATGTGGTCAACTTCGATACTGAGTTTGGGATGATGGGCATTGCATTCCATCCTAACTTTGCACAGAACGGCAGGCTTTTTGCATCTTTCAACTGTGATAAGGTCAAGTGGGCGGGCTGTAATGGGCGGTGCTCGTGTAACTCTGAGGTGAATTGTGATCCTTCAAAGCTGGCTCCTGATAATGGTGCTCAGCCGTGCCAATACCAAACTGTTGTTGCAGAATACAGTGCCAATGCCACGTCCACCACTCCTTCATCGGTACATTTTTGTGTCTTGGATAACAAGTCATCAGGAAGCTGTTTTCCTAGTGGATTTCTTTGACTGATTGTTGTTTGCTGGGTTTTTTTGGTTATGCAGGCGACATCTGCGAAACCGGCTGAAGTGAGAAGGATATTCACAATGGGCCTTCCCTTTAGGTCTCACCATGGAGGGCAGATTCTGTTTGGACCTGACGGTTATCTCTACTTCATGATGGGGGATGGTGGCGGTACAGGGGATCCTTACAACTTTGCACAGGACAAGAAGTCATTGCTTGGGAAGATCATGAGACTTGATGTTGATAACATCCCAAGTGAGTATCTTGCACCTATAGATATAGCGGTTAGATCTTTTTCCCAAGTTGACACAATCCGTTTGGGTACTGAGGTTGGGACCTGGTTTTCCGACCCATATGAATCTCCCCCAAACCACAAAATTGATTGGTACTATTCACCAGGAGAAATTAATTACAGTGGTATAATAGAATCAACTACTGGATATGAAACACTCCCCACTGTCCGGAAAATTACTCCGTTTTCTCTGTTGTGTGTTCTTGTGTTCAAACTCTTCGTTGATATCAACCTGTATTAAACAGCTGCTCAAGAAATAGCAAACAACAGCTTTTGGGGAAACTACTCCATCCCTAGTGACAACCCATACAAACTAGATGCTGATCTGCAACCTGAGATATGGGCACTTGGGCTCAGAAATCCTTGGCGCTGCAGTTTCGATTCAGCAAGACCCTCCTACTTCCTGTGTGCAGATGTTGGACAGGTCTTTATTGCTGTCATTTCACCAAAACATTCTCCAATTAATCACGGTCTGCAATCTGGACTGCTTACCTTGACCTCTAACGCTATCTCTGCAGGATCAATATGAGGAGGTTGACTTGATCACCAAGGGAGGAAACTATGGCTGGCGTGTCTTCGAAGGAAACTATGCTTACAAGCCTCCAGCAACCCCTGGAGGAAACACACTTCCAAGCTCAATCAACCCAATCGCCCCAATAATGGGATACAACCACTCTACTCTGAGCAAGAATGAAGGGTCGGCTTCGATAACCGGAGGTTACATCTACCGCTCCCAAACCGATCCATGCATGTCTGGAAGGTAAGTTGATGAAAATCAGGTTCATCTGGCTGCCCTGCCTGCAGAATATGGTTAAAAGTTTTGGAATGTTGCAAATGCAGGTACCTGTATGCAGATTTGTATGCCAGTAATGTGTGGGCAGGAACCGAAACACCTGAAGATAGTGGCAACTTCACTGCCAATTCAATTCCTTTCAGCTGCACGAAGGACTCTCCTATCCCGTGTACCACTGTTTCCGGAAGTGACGCCCCATCCTTGGGGTATATTTTCTCCTTTGGCCAAGATAACAACAACGATGTGTTCCTTCTAGCCAGCAGTGGAGTGTATAGAGTTGTCCCTCCAAGCCGTTGCAATTATGCTTGCTCGAAGGAGAATGCAACGGCAGCTGCTGGCGGCCCTGCTCCTTCTGCTCCAGGCGCATCGTCTGCAAGTCAGCTGCAACGCAGTAGCAGAGTTGTAGTCCTCCTGTTGGCTTCCTTGTTATTTATGTTCAGTTGTATCTAATTTGTCATAGCAGCTCGTAAGCTCCGGCATTTTGTTTATCAGTATGAGACATTTGTGACTATAAACAGACATTTTGTTTATTTCTCTGTGATTGCTGTTCTTTTTTTTTTTATTTCAATTGCCTTTTGTGACTATAAACAGACATGTAAGACTCCATTTGATTCAACTAGTTGGTACATCTGCACCTGATTTTCACCATCCTCTTACTGATACAAGCTGTTTCACCTACAATGATCACCCTCTTCTATTATCACTCCGGAAATGACTAACAGATGTTTGAATGACTTCCCCCAAAACCTTCTCAAAAGGCACCACAGTAATAATGGTTAGAAGCTACTAACATATCATAAACCTTACACTTTTCCCCTGGACCAATCTCCACTTTTCCCACCGGTCTTGCCCTCAAGCTGCACGTCCGTTATCAGGATATCTTTAGAAGCAGCCTTGCACATATCATACACAGTTAGACCAGCAGTAGCCACAGCAGTCAATGCTTCCATTTCCACACCAGTTTTCCCCGTCGTTGCAGCCTCCCCTTTGATCTCCACACTGTGATCTTCAGGGTTCAGCACGAGATCGACACGGAGGTGACTCAATGCAATGTTATGGCAAAGCGGGATGAGGGTACTCGTTTGCTTTGCTCCATTAATGCCAGCTATCTTGGCCACAGTAAGGACATCTCCTTTAGCCATTTGGTTGGCCGAGACCATATCAAACACCTTCTCCCCCAAAACCACCTTGCAACTGGCAATAGCTACTCTCTTAGTTGAGTCCTTTGCAGATACATCCACCATTTGAGCTTCTCCTCTACTGCCGACATGGGTCAAACCACCCGGATTGTTGTCTCCACCATCGGGTATATGAGAGAACTTGTGACGGGATAGCTCTTGCGCTGTATTGCTGTCAGTAAAAGAAAGGGGAAGCTCTTGGGATTTCAACTGAGGCTGCTGCTCTTCAACAAGAGGATTGGTGCTAACTGAACCAGCTAATCCACTAGGGGGTACTTCACCAAAGACTACTTCCATTTCCTAAAACCAAATTGGGGGAATAAGTATATAAATTACCAAAGTTCAGAGCTTTTGTTTCTTCTCACTCCTAAAGACGCCCAAAATGAAGCCAACGTGAAATAGAATAACCATAACCAAACTCTGATCATGAATTAAGCCTGCTCTTAAATTCGATTCTATTTGGCGCAAACAATATACAGAAATGAATCAATTTGGCTCTGAAAAGGGATTCCAGTTTTCATCTAACCTTATTCATCTCGGCAATCGCACTCCCAAATGCATCGTGGAATTTGCTGGTACTGAAGAACCTCCTAGAGCGCGAGAAGGCTGCCGCAGCTGTTCCTCCGGCGGTAAACATTGAGGGCGGGCGGGAATAAAACGATTTCACTGCAAGAAAGAGAAGTCGAAAATCAAAATAGAGGGAAAAGTGCAGGATGTTGCAGAGTATACAAGTGCAACAACTTCATTTGTAAATAAAAGAAGTGCTTGCGATTTCTACCAAGGCGGAGGCGGTCGGAGCGACGATCGGCTATTTCGGTGGCGGCCTTAGGTGATGGAGGGTGAGACGAAGCAGGGAGACAGAGAGGTGGTCGGGCGGCGAGAGAATGAGAGAGATGGGAGGAACGGCGGCTGGGTTTTGCGGAAGTCGCCGGCGTCCTTTTGTTTTTAATTTTGGCTAAATTACACGTTTGGTCACTCAAATTATATAAATCTTTCACGTTTGTCACTCGAATTACTTTTCTTTCTTATTGACCACTAACTTTACGAGTCATTACATCGCTAGTCACCGACCGTTAGTCTCCGTCAAACTCCATTAACTCCGTTAAATTTTTGATGATGTGACAAACAGAATTGCCGATTGGACTAACAGAAGGCCGAGATGGAATTCTTTATTAAAAACACAAAATAACAACAACAAAAAAAATTAAAGCTCATCAATCATTCCCAATTAAAAGCCTTTCACGTCACACCTTCCCTCTTCCCACAGTATCCCCTTCTTCCCCATCAAATCCCCACCTCCCTCCTCCACTACTTCCCAATCCCTTCCGCCATCAAAATCTAAAAGCCTCTTCTCCTCCACATTCCCTTCCTCAGAGCAAGAACAAGAAGGAGAAGGAGAAGAAGAAGAAGCAAAGAGGAATGAAGATAAACAAACAAAATGTATATTACAATCCCCATCAACCTCTCCAACCTAATGCTGATGCTCAACCAAAGCTCGCCATCGGCAGCAGCTCCGCCTCCTTCCTCCTCCCAAAATAACCATCCCTCTCTCGATCCACCATCGTATCTTCTGCCTCCCAAGACACGCACAACAACACCTCCACACCCGCCGCCTATTCGCCTCTCCAAAAGAAGACCACGCGCTGGTTTGACAACGCAAGGCCTGTTGTGCGACTCCGACGGCCTCCCCCACCTGATTGTGAGCGGCGGCCAGAGGCACTGGGGTGAGTTCGTAACTAAAGGGGTTCTGTTCCACGTCGCTGGGTGGATCGGGTTGGTGGGCCGGAGCTACCAGATTGCCATTGGTGGTGAGAAGAAGCCTGTCATCATCGATGTTCCCCTAGCTACTGGGAATCTGGGATGATCTTCAAAGGCTCATCTTGGCCCGTTTCTGCTTACAGAGAGTTCCTCAACGGATACCTAATTACCTAGTTGTTAAGGATGTTTGAAATCTGATTTTGATTTTGGGTTGAGGAAAACAGATAAGAAAAGGGTTCTGGTAATTCGACTGGGAATGTTTGATTCACTCCATAATCATCTTTGGTCCCTCATATGTCATCATCTCCACCTTGCGATGAGGCATGGCAGGCGGAACTAGAGGCTCGGGCGGCGTCGCCGGAGCAGCACTTGCTTCGTCGGCGCCGTGCGATTCGTCGTCCATTTTGGGGGATGCGAGAGGAGAGGACAGTGGGGAAGCCTAGGGTTTGTTTAATTGAGGATGATTGTCAAGTTTTTTTTGTGTGTGGTTATTTTGTGTTTTTAATAAAAAATTCCATCTTAGCCTTCTGTTAGTCCAATCAGTAATTCTGTTTGCCACGTCATCAAAAAGCTAACGGAGTTAACGGAGACTAACGGCCGGTGACTAACGATGAAATGATTCGTAAAGTTAGTGGTCAATAAGAAAGAAAAGTAATTCGAGTGGCAAATGTGAAAGATTTATGTAATTTGAGTGACCAAACGTGTAATTTAGCCTTTTAATTTTTCTATGGTCTTCTCTTATCTCACTGGGCCGGCTTTGACATGGGCTTAAAGACACTTTCTATATCTGGTGGCTGGGTTCCGTCTGCACCCGGTGATAAGCCCAATAAATCCTGCTGCCAAATTGGTCAATTCCTCCGCTTGCACCAGAGTCCGCTTCCATATTTCCATTCACTTGTAGCAACTAGCAAGACTACAAGAAGAGACAATCCCAGTTTGAAGAACTATTTAACAGATTCAAATCTAGAACGTTCAACTTCTAAATTGTAGATCAACGATAGAGTCGTTAGATCAAGCCTAGTTTGCTAGCGTTTGTGTTACTTCAACGGTTTTGTCTCCGTCCAGTCTCCTATTCTTTAGAGTTATGCATTGTGGTGGTGGATGAAGCAACAATGTCTACGACTCATAGAAGGGTGGGATTAGATGGATACGACGACTCCAGTATGTTGCTTGCTTTTGAGAGAGTCTTCACTGGCATTATTGATCCAGTATGTTGCTTGCTTTTGAGAGTCTTCACTGGCATTATTGATCCTACCTTGATGGAGATGTTGGCTCTTCGACAGGTTGTGATTCTCGTTCAGCAATGAATGTTGTATTATCGTCTTATTCATCCTAAGAGATTAACTTACAATGTTTACTACTTTATCTAATGTTAATTTTAAACTCACATCTCGAGACGAATTAGACTGTCCATTCTATAATACGCAAAGTCTACCTAAGTTATCTTGATTTTAGTAAGAGTGTTTATGATTTCACATATCTTGAGTGTCACTGAATCAACGAAGTTACCTTCTCCTCATGGTTATTTCGCTATTGCCTAGTTGATCCGAAAGGATTTACATGACCCCAAACGAAAAAACCCTCCCCCACAGCCAAAAACCGAAAACAAAAAACCAAACACCAACTTCCTCCACCGAGGGAGAGAAACTCGGCAGCCAAGTTTCCGATTTTCAATTTCCTGGGAAATAGGGTAGACTGGAAGAACGTGTTGCGAGTGAATCAATGAGAGGAGAGATGATGGTCTTTCCTTCTCTTTCCCCGTTCTCAACCTTGTCTCCCTTTCGTCTTCCAATGGCGGAAACCTGACTTCCTGAAAACCCTTGATCTTGTACATGTAATCCTCCCTACATTAGCTCTACCTTCCCCCCTTTCGATCTCCCTTCTGTTTACCCCTAACTAACTATGTCGCGCGACCAACCTTCTTCCTCCCCTCCTAACCCGATCTCTCCTTCCCAAACCCCTAAACCCGCCGACGACTCCCACGGCGAGACCGACGGCGCCGTCGCCGGTAAACCCCAGCCTACCGACCCCGCTACTCCCACTACCTACCGCACTAATCGCCCTTCTCGCGCTTGCACGCTCCGCGCTGCTGCTAAGCTGCAGCAGCAGCAGCAGGCTAAGCAGAAGCCCAAGAAGGACCACCGCCAGCAGCAGCAGCGGCGGCGGCGGCAGGAGGAGGAAGAGGGGGATGAGGACCAGGAGGAAGACGATGAAGACGGCGGAAGTGGGGATGAGGCGTCGCTTCATAGTAAGGACCAATGTAGTAGTGGTGCCAGTAAGATTGTGACTTCCTTGGTGGCTCCTCCGGAGCCCGCTCAATTGCCCCGGTGGAACCTCCGCTCCATGTGGGAATTGGCTTCAGTACTCAATTTCTTGCATGTGAGAGGCGCTTCTCCTTTTTAGCTTTTTTGGCTTTTGTTTCAGTTGCTACGGCCTTCCTTAAATTTCTTCCCTTTTTGGGTCTCGCTTATCCTATTGAAATTTCGTGATTTTGACGGATGTTCTTGGTTTTATGATTCTAGGTCTTTAGACCCTTGTTGAACATCCAAGTTGAATTCTCGGCCGAGGAGTTTGAGACGGCTCTTCTCTCACCCAATGACACATTGGGGGAGATACATATGCCATTGTTAAAGGTTGGTGCTTTCTGTTCCATGTCGTAAATTTTTCACTTAGTTCAACTTAAGCTACTTGATACATGAGTTGAACTTGTTCTTTTGTTTGCAATTGGATAAATGTATATTAGGCAAGGTTTGAGTCTATACCTTTGTTGCTATGGATTCTAAGCAAGATGGTGGACTGGAAATGTTTCACGCCTGTGTTAATGAATTTGGTTTCAGCAAACAAAGACATCTCACTCCCTGGGATCTTATATTTTTTCCCATTGTCGATTGACTGTGAACTGCAGTTTCTCAACTGTTGAACTTTCTGGGAACTTTAGGTGCGACGAATTAGTTATTTGATCTCTCTGGATACTCGGAGAGGGCTAACTTTATTTATTGATATCAAGTTGCAATTGCTATGGTTGTTGAAATGTTTGTGTGAATGTCTTCTGAGATTGGACATGGTAACTTAGGAGTTTGGGTAGATATAGGAGGTTCCAGATGAATGAGTTTCATGTATCTCGAATAATGGTGGATTAGTTCTCTTGTTTAGTCTAAGATTTGACGATTTGCTGCTGAAGGAATGATCTTTGTAGCTGTTTGGTTATTGGAGGGATTTGAAATGCTTTGTTTGGTTTGGCACAATCTGGGTGAGGTGGTGGACTGTTGTTGCAGAATCTAGGATGATATTATAAACTGAAGGTGCTTCATTATTGTTAGAGTTGAGCTACTTCACTGGCATTTCAAGTCGGTTTTCAATCAGAGTGCCTGCTGACAGATAGATTCGGCAGGAATGATGGAAGGTATAGGTTCTTATACTGATCATGCGAATGCTAACTACAATTGGTACTTTTCTGGATGTGAAATTACTGATGCACCCACATCCTATCTAAGAGGTCACTTGAAGTTTGGGATGGTACGTATAGGTATATGATGTTCCAGCCACTGAGAATACACTTCTGAACTGGTTTTCACCTGTAGATTATGGAAACAGCCAATTTCGAGAATAGAGATACGGCAAAAAATGCCACATGACCATCGTGGTAAATCTGGACAGCAAGTGAAGATGTGTGATATTATGATGCAGCTTCGTATGGATAGTCTAGCAAAGATTTTTTCTCTCTGACTAGTCCCTACGAGCTCTTTGAGAATTCCTTCTGTCACTATATTTCGAGATAATCTGCAAATTATTGCTGCCTGATGGGTGCCCATGGGGAGGCTTGGCTTGATGGAAACTCTTCTTGTGAATGCTCTGTTTATGATTGACTACATACACTACCGTGTTAGGGATTTGCAAACTGGAGGAAATAATTTGTATATTCTTCTCCTACCATTTTTAATTTTTGTATGCAGTTTGACGAGGTTTGTACTGTTCCTTGTCAGATGGATACTAAATGCTACTTTAACCTCATATACTGATTCCCAGTTCTTGCTATTGCAGGCAATACCTCCTATTACTCGGACGGCTCTTACTCGGGATACATGGGTTACAGTTTTGTGCAGAAAACTAAGGGACTGGTGGCATTGGGTAAGTCCAGCATTTCAATCCAAACTGAATTTTGACACTCTGCACTTGACATAGGTCATCTAGTTGCAGAATGCTAAGAGGAGTATTGTATTTGCTTGCAGGTTGCAGATGGAGATCTTCCATTAGTTGCTTCACATGGGTGAGTAGCGATGAATGGGCATCTGTTTTTGTCTGTCTTTTGACTTCTCAACTTGTCTGAATTACTTAATTTATTATTTGCTTTTGATGGCTCAGGGCGGAGGTTGAAGCATATAAAACACTGGAGCCTGCTGTTCGTGTGGTGATCCTGAAGGCATTATGTGATATTCGTGTTGAGGTATGAAGTCTTATTCTATGTCAGTCGATCTTGTGAGCTATGGTGTTGGTACAAATATGTATTTGTTTTGTTTAACTATTCAGGGATCTTCTTGGTTATCGATCTAAATATTGTATTATCATAATTCATATCTGACTTTGTTACCTAGTTATTTTTGGTAAAGTATATTGTGAAAATGCACCGTAATGGAATTTAGAATTGGATAATATTAGTAACTCTTCCCTTTTTGTCTGATTTCCTTGTATATCTGCACCACCACTTCACTAATTCTTACCTATTGGATGATTTTTTTTTGTGGTGATTTACAAATTGTAAGTGAAATTTTCATCTCTTTGATGTTATGCAACAAAGGAATTGGCTTCCTTTAAGATCTGGACTTGTTCTCTTGTCTTTTAAATATTATTTACTCTGGTGACTGGTATTATACATTTCTAAGTTATTGCGTTGCTAGCTGAACCCTTTTTGAAGTTTCCCCTTCTTTCTGGAGAAACAATTTTCTGGTTGTTGGAATTCTAATGTTATTTGTGTGTTCTCTGTATACTTGAACATTTAGCATGATTTCCCTATTGGCGACTGGACATTAATGCTCTTTTCCGTTTTTGGATGATACATATTCTTAATCGCATTATCGACGGAAAACTAACTCGAATGATGTTCTGCAGCAAGAAGACATACGGAACTATATTGACAGCTCTATTAAGCATGGTGCTCAACTGCTACTGTTCCGAAAAGAACGTGTTGGGGGTGATTCTCAGGGGATAAATTACTGGTATGAAACCGTTATTATAAAATCATGAAACTTGAGTATTTTGATTTATCAATCTTGCATTACATATTACAAGCTCTTGATTCAGATTTTTTGTTGTTGGTGGTGAAGGTATGAACCTGATGAAATAGTAGGCCACCGGTTATACCGGGAAATAAGAACAGCAGAAGTGCAGACAAAAGGGAAGACAAAAGGTTCCAAAGTCCTTCCTTCTACAGTATACCAGTGGGAAACTGTTGCGACGAATTTTGATGAATTTGTGGATGTCTCTGTAAGTTAATTTACTTATTGTCCTATTTGAACTCGATGGCATGGTTGTTCCCTTATTTTAGAATTGTTAAACTGCACCTACTCCCCTACTACACAAAGTACCTCTTCAAGTTCTTAAAATTTTGAATTTGCAGACAAAATGGTGGACTTAATTTCTAAAAAGCACTGATGTTTTTTCATTGTATGCAAAGTTGAGGTTTATGTTGTCGGCCAGTTAACTCTGTTCATTTGTATGCAAAGTTGAATTAGACAATGAGTCCACATATATTCGTGTTCTCCATTCTTACTGTAATCATCCTTGTCCTGGAATATCAGCTACAATTATTAGCCTAGAGAGAAATAGATGTTGAAGTTGCTATTTCCATCGTCTGTAGGTCTGTGTATATGTTCAGAAGTGAAAATAGTTTGTGAATTTATCATCGACTCTATGTAATTAGAGGGAGAGGTCTGAATTGTACTTCCATCAATGATATCTCAAATATACAAGGTGTACGACCTTGGATATTTTGAGAATGATGAGGAAAAGTTGCTTCAACTTGCTTCCTGCTCCTAACATCATTTTAGTTTCCTCATTTTTCCTGTCTATCCATTGTCGCAGGAGAAGCTTTTTACCAGTAAAAATAGAACAGAGGCTTCATTAGGGAAGAAGCTAAAAAATGACTTGCTCCAGGACATTGAGAAGGTTCATAAGGTACTTGTTTGATGTATCTTAAAATGATGATATGGAATGGGCTAGTGTAGTAGTTCATCTATTGTGCACATCTAATTGATCATATATTCCGTGTGTTCCTTCAGAGGAAAGAGCGTTTGATGAAGAAGCAACACAGACAAGCTCTACTCTTAGATAACTATATGCATGTGGATGGGCTAGCAGCAGGTCGCTCCCTGCGTGATAGAAAGCCTGTTACTTACACTTTCGGTAAGAGATAATTTGTATAGATGAAAACAATAATTTCTTTTTTCTTTTCTTTTTATATGATCCTTGGACCTATCTGCAGCTCTGATTCTTTGTTGATGTTGCAGATGACTATGACCGATCAATAAATGAGGCCATCAAAGTAACCAAGTACGAGCTTTCTCCCCGTTTTCCTGGTAGCATTTTTGTGCAAGGACCAACCAAATTAGACTTTTAAGTTGCTATATCCCTTTTATAGGAACAAACCTTCATCCCCTGAGCATGGTCACAGAAGAGAAGGCATGTTCAGACCTGAAGCTTCTGCAAATGGTAGATGGGGTGGTCCATCAAATTCAACAGCAGCTCATCATGGCAGCTCTTTCAGTGCCATGTCTCCCCTTTCATCTGATTATGATTTCGTTGATAGTGATCAAAATAATAATAAAGAAGATGAATTGGATCGAGGGTAATGATAGCTTCTCTACTGCTGAATACTTCTACTAACACATTAGTATATGTCACCTGATTCAGCTGTTTTAACAACGGTTTTGTAGCAACAGACGCCGACAGAGGCCACAGCGGTATTCAGAAAGAGATTATGTGGAGGCTATCTCAGACAATGAACACGACTTTGATAGTGATGATGATATTGTTGGGGAAGCTGTTTATGATGATGAGTATTTGAAGAAGAGAAAAATGAGGAAGCTCTCAAGTAGCTCTGAAGGAGATGATGAATACAAGTTGGATGGAGAAAATGGCGAGGAGGAAGAGGAAGAAGAGGAGGAGGATTCCTTGAGTGTTAGTGACGAGGAGAGCGATGATCCTCATAACAAATTCAAGAAGTTAGCAGCAGGGCGCACTAGGAGAGAGACCAAGTTGAGGTTGGTTGGGGATCTTCAGTCAGGTTTAAGACGCAGCAAAAGGTCTACAAGAAACCGGATTAATTACAAGCAGTACGAGCCATCAGATTCAGAGCCAGAAGCTGCAAAACAACGTGATAACCACTCTGGTGCCAGTGAGAATGGAGAGTTCTCAGCTGGAAGTCAAGACTTAGATGATGGTAATGAAGAGGAGGGGGTGGAGAATGTTGATGATGATGATGATGAACAAGATATGAAAGTAGATGATCAGCAGCCTGTTGAAGGGTACATGGAAGGGTACTCTGAACCGGCAGTGAAAGAAGAAAGTAAGCCACCTGAGAAATCAAGTAGCCCACCACCGCCAGGTGGTCAAGATGATGCGATTGGAGTAAAGAAAACACAGTTCCTCGATCTAAACGAAATGGCTCCAGGTTCTGGGTTTGATGATGGTCCGAATATACTAATGAAAGATGAAGAAAATAGAGATGATTTTTGAGCTCTCCCCCTTCCCCATATTAGGGTTTCTTGATCTCCCCTGGGAAAAGCTCAGTGTACGATAGCGGAAAGAGCTTTGTTATAAATTTTGGATTGTCCATCCATGGTGGAAAAAGGTCAGGTCAGGGATAAGGATTTGGGTTCTTCTTCCATGGTGTGTTAATCAAGCTACTACCTCAATGCAAAGAATACGTTCATTAGAAGGCTCGGTTTGCAGCAGCAATGGCAAGCAACTTGATTGAAGGTGAGAGTCGGCATATCATGTAGATTAGGACATTAGGTAACCAGTTTCTTCTTTCTTTCTTTTGTTTTTGCCTTTTTGGGTTCCCCTGGTATTTCTACGTCAATAGAATAGAAGTGAAACACCAAAGGATGAAAGAGAGAGAATTTGTGGGGGGAAGCCGTAAACTTGTCTGAATCAATCATTCTACAACTATCCCTTAACCCCAAAGATTGTAACTTTGAAAACAATTTGCCGTCCCCTACGCCGGTGGCGGCAGCCGCCGGTAGTACTATCGCTTCATCACCACTGGATTCGCAGAATCCCTTAACAAGTTCTATTTCATAACCCTCTGACCTCTGTGAACGATTTTCCCTTCTCTTTCTGTCGTCTGTGATCTTGTTTATGACTGTGGTCTTCACTATTTGAAAATGGCGGTTACATTGCATATATTAAAAATCTGCCCTAATCGGACAATCTAGTGAGGGGCTACACCATTTTCCGGCGAACCATTAACCATGCCAACTACTTTCTTCTCCTTCTCTTCCACCAGCTTCCTCGCCGCAGCCACCTCCCTCTCCATCTCAGCCGCTTCCTTAGCCTCCTCCATAGCCAGAATCAACCTTGACAGACAAGTATCCGCATCATCCAAAGGCGATTTCGGCATCAGATTCTCAGCAACATCAGCAGGGGTGATCTTCATCTCCTTCATCAGCCTCTCCACGGTCGCGAACATCGGATGATCGTCGCCTTCTTCTTCGTCCAGCTTCAGATAGTTCCTCGCCAGCACTTTAAACGCCTCGAAGCTGCAGTAAGAAAGCTCTATATGCTTGTCCATCCTCCCTCTCCGTATCAGAGCCGGATCCAGCTTCTCGACGTAATTCGTCGTGAACACAATCAGCCTCTCCCCTCCACAAGCTGACCATAATCCGTCAATGAAATTCAGCAGCCCAGACAAAGTAACCCTACTACTCCCCCCGCCGACGCCGCCGGCAGCAGCCGCAGCAACTGCTGCTGCCGCCGGATCGAGATCCCTCCGACCACCACCAATCTCCTTCTCGGTCTGCTTCCCGTCCCTCTCCTCATCCGACAGCCACTTCTGATTCTTCTTCCTCTGCCCCGTCAAATCGAGCGAGCAATCGATGTCCTCGATCACGATGATCGACTTGCTCGTCGTCTCGATCAGCAGCTTCCTGAGCTCCGTATTGTCCTTCACCGCCGTCAGCTCGAGGTCGTAGACGTCGTAGTTGAGCAAATTGGCCATGGCGGCGATCATGGTCGATTTCCCGGTCCCCGGCGGGCCGTAGAGCAAATACCCCCTTTTCCACGCCTTGCCGATTCGGGAGTAGAACTCCCTGCTCTCTGTAAATGTGACGAGGTCATCGATGATGTCTTTCTTCTTCGCCGGATCGAGGCCCATGGTCTCGAAGGTCGCCGGGTGCTCGAAATTGATGTGGCTCCACATCGTGTGCTTGTAGGTCGGCCATTTGTAATTGGGGGAATTGGTGAACAGCTTCCGCTGCCGGTTCCGGGTCCGGATCTCCTTCCCGACCCGGACCACGTGGGGGAGGTATTCGTCGGTGATGAGCTGGCGGTGGCGCTTGTGGAAGGTGAGGCGGTAGAAGCGGCGCTCCGGTTGGGCCGGGTGGTAGAGACCCGGTTGGGTCGGGTTGGCGATTTTGGAGGCGACCCACCGGACTTTGACGCCGGCGAAGTGGTCGGCGACGAGCTCGTGGTCGTCCATGGTGAGGACGAGGGAGTTGGAGTCGCGGGACGACATCTCGGCCTTGAGGCGGTTGGCGGAGCGGGAGGAGTTGGTGGAGAGGTAGGCCTCGACGGCGGAGTAGGCCTCGCTCCGCTTGAGGCGGCCGTCGGCGGTGAACTCGTGGACGGAGATCTTGATGTAGGGGTAGTAAGTAGGCGGAGAGGCGGTGGGTGAGCTTCTCGAGGTAGCGGCGGAGCTCGTAGGGGCAGTATTGCTGGAGGATTGCCCAGAGGAACATCAGGCTGGCGATTGTGGAGCCCGCCGACGACCACATCTCCGTTACCGATCGCGGCATTCCCGCCATTTTCATCTTTCTTGTTTGAACTTTGCTGGTTTTGTTTGTTTGGGAAGAATTTTTTTTTGGAAGAATGGGAGAAAGAAGATGGGAGGAGTGGTTTGGCTGAAGTACTCAAGAAAGTGAGGAGGTTTTTCTTTTTGTAGGGAGAAAGAAAGTAGGTTTATGGAAAATGAAATCATGATTTGTTGATTGTATTGTCTATGGGAGCAATTGGTTTATGGAAAATCAAATCTTCGTTTATGGAAGAATTTCTCAAATTTTTTACCTTTTCAGGCCTACAACCGTGATCGTTTTACGCGGAGGAGCGTCTGCTCGCTGATATTAAGGTATGTCTGCTATTCTCTGTTGTGTTCCGAAAATCAGTCCCTTGAAGCGATGATTTGGCCAATTTTACCTTGTGTAATTGTAATGTACAGGTTCCTTCTACGAACTTTAGATAAATTGCTCAAAAACTCTTGAGTTGATAGTCTCGTTAATAGCGAGAACAAACACAAATAGAATAAAAGAAAGAGAATGAGAACTAAAGAATAGGCCAAATTCACTTGTATAGCCAAAATTTTGACGTTTGTGACAAATACAGCCACTTTTGGAGAAATACCAGAAATAGCCAGAATTTTGTAAGTTCGATGACAAATATAGCCATTTCCGTTACATAGTTTGACGGCGTCAATGACATTGTTAGTCTAATTAACGAAATGATGATGTGGCTGCCAACTCATCACACACGTCAGCGACAAGTCATCAATATCATTGCCACGTCATTTTTTTTGTGGGATTTGCCACATCATTTTGATTTATCTTTTAACAATTCTGGGGGATAAATGAAAAACAAATCCAAATAGTCTTTTTTATCTGAACAATTTTTATTTATTTATGAAAACTGAGGAAAAAAAACAAGAAAACAATAAATAATTTTATCTCGCATCCCTCTGACCCTCTCTTCTTTCTGCCTCCGCCCACAGCCGTCTTTCCTTCCTCCACAGACGATCAAAACCAATCGACCAGGTGGTGATGAGCAGCATCGCAGCTAGAGACGACCTTTTCCTTGTAGCTTCAAAATAATCAATCGCCGATCTCATGTACCCATCATCCACCATCCTCACAGCCTCCTGAACCCGCTTCGCCGCAAACAACAGGTCATTTTCCACAATCTCCCCTGCTTTGCAGAGCGAATTGGTGAGCACAATGGCATTGCCGAAGTAGCCGCTTGGAATCGGGGGCACGAACTTGCCCCTGCCGTCGACTGCGAAAAGGAGCTTGGTCTCCTGATCGGGGAGAAGTTTGAGGGATTGGGTCCGCGATTTCCAGACGAAGGGGAGAGGGCTTTGAAGGTCGTGCATTTGGGCAAAGAGTCGTCTTGGAGGGCTCTGGCCTTGACGCGGACTTCACACTGTTTCCTCTGTTTGCCGGGCACAGAGCCACCAGATCATCCGCCATCATTCTATTGGTAAGGACCACAAAACCCTCGCAGCTTCGAGCTCAATCAATCGCTAAACTAACTCAACCTGTGTTCATGAACCGAAGTTTTGCCGGCGGGATTGCGGCGATTTAGAGCTCTGAAGTCGTCGATGTTGCAGCAGGAGCGGCAGTGAGTTAGATATGGGGGTTGGTGGTGGCTGTTACGGATTGGAAATAGATCGTGGTTAGGGTTGAATTCAGTGTGGTAGTTGAGGTGGATGGAAGATAGGTGGTGAGTGTGAAGGTTGGTGGTGGCTGTCAGTTTGGAAATTGAGGAGGAGGAATAGGGGGAGTGATTCTGGGGAAGAATCGGGAAGAAGGAGAGAGATTTGGAAGGTTGGGTGGGATGGAAATTGGGGAGGAGGAACGGGGGAGTGATTCTGGGGAAGAAGGAGAGAGATTGGGAAGGTTGGGTGGGAGAAGAACGGAGAGGGAGAGAGAGAAAGTAAAAAATAATTAATTATTTATTTTCATTTTTTTTATTATTTCAGCTCATATTTTTAATGATTAAAAGATTGACATGTCAGCTTTTCCGTTAGTCGAGTCAACACATTAACTAACACCGTCAAACAAGTGAACGAAAGTGGCTATTTTTGGTATTTCCCTAAACGTGGCTATATTTGGCAAAACCGTCAAAGTTTTGGCTATACAAATGTATTAGGACTAAAGAATAAGATGAAAGATAGATAAGAAAGAGGGAAAAGTAAGAAACTGATCGTGTGTAGTATGTGATGCAAATTTACTTAGTCCGAAGACCAGGATCGTATGCTCTAACGTCTCTCACAACCACTTGCTCAGGTGGTGAGAGACGTGTTCTATATGTATAAAACGAAAATGTGGTGGTTTAGGTTCTTACAAGTTGAATCCCTTGGTTTTACAAAACAAAAGAGAAAGGTTGTGCAAAAAAGTAAAATTATACTACTCGCTGGTCAAAGAAACATGAGGGTGAGACGTTGCATAGGCAAGCTCCCCCTAGAGTCCATTTGACTCACAACCTTGATCCTCATAGAATATGAGTTGCTTGATCATTGCTAGATTTATTCCTACCATATGTCTTGGCATTTACCAAGACTAATAGGCAATGATATCGACCAGATGTCTTCTTTGAGGAAGTCACACAGTTTGATCAATTTGAGGACCGATCGTGAGGGACTTCCATGTCAAGTATCATCCACCCATAAAGTTGAGTTTGAAGATAAATCTTTTGAAGATAGTCCTCGTCTTAAGTACACAATCGCATCAACAACAAACCAAGCAAATAAATCAAATAGAAAAGACAGATGAAATCACACTCATATATACAAAATCAAAGAGTTATATAGTCAAAGAACCTCCAGGGTTCGCAAGCCTTTGCAACTAAGGAACTAGCCGACCATGGGGATGAAAGTCTAGGGGGAATATTAGCCGAAACTAGATCCCATATCACCCTTATAATCTGCGGCTAGACTGCCGATCTTGCACCAATTTGCCTCTGAATTCGGCTTTGCTTCAAGTCGGGAGAGTCACGTTGGTGGTAGAGTAATGATCCTCTAATGCATACTATCATTAGCTCCTGAACTTCTACCCTCTAGGGGGCTATTTACAGGTCTCTGCATCAGGTTTTCTGGGAGGACAAGTCGACCTAGAACACGTTTCTCGAACTCCTTCGGGTATCTTCTGACTTGGCCACCATATTTGGCATATTCCTTGAGATTCTGGGCTCGATTTGGAGACCCTCCACAATGGCGGCCAATACACCATTTTGGGTTCAGGTCGACTGATTTCCATGACGTTTTCTGGACATGATCCAATCTCGTATTCTGGCTCACAGCAATCTAGCCTTGATGTTTCCTTACTCATACAAGATGATCACTGATAATTGATTTAGTTGAAGTAAGAATCATATATGACAGATTGACAGTATAAAAAACATGGATCCATCCTAAAAGAGACGTCATTGCAAAGAAGTGGATGAATGTAACCTATTACTTTTCATGTATGATCATGTCAAAACACCTCAATACGTAACCAAAATTTCCTAAACTAGATGAGAATGAGTAACCAAATAAATGCATAGTTGTCTGAATTAAATGGATGTACAATTGTTGTTTAAAAAAGCATTTGGCCTAAAAGCAAGTGGGGATTGAGTGAGTGAGTGGGATCGAGTTGGATAATTTTGGAATGGATCAGATTTCCGGCTTCCATAAGATGCGGGGAACTGGAAAAAGAAAAAGAGATTCAGCGGGCCACATTTGCATACGTGTCATCCATTCATGGCACCTTAAGATTTTTTTGGTGGAATCATGGCACCTTAAGATGGTTTAGCTCAAATGCTTTTTTATCCGAGGTTGAATGATCATCAAAAGAAGAATTAGGTAAGAAATACAACATTTTATTCAGGGAAATCCCTAACGAAAAATCTGTACTATTCCTTCTCTTCGATTGAATTGAGTATTTGATGACTTTTCACAGGAATTGTTTGGATTAAAGAATTTTATAAAGAAGAATTGACCCTAAATGTCTCGTTAAGTAAATCAGACAATTTACATATGTGAGATTTGAACAAAATATTCTATTTGATTGTAAATCTAGGACTTATTCCTCTTCTTTCTTTGCTCCTTCATTGCCGATGCTAGGGGTGTTCAACGGTTCGATCCAATTTGGACCAAACTCATGAGTCATGACCTACAATGTAGGTAAAGTTGGTTATTTGCAAGATGATGTCACTTGTATTTAATTATATATATATATATCATGACAAGATCTCACGATAAGATAATATCATATTATATTGAAAAAAATTCCAAAATACACATGTTTTTTTAAAAAAATTCAAAATGAGTAAATGCCACATTTGATTACTGAGATTACTAAATCATGTCATGTTTAGTCACTAGAAAAAATTAATATCAATTTTGGACCAAACTCATGAGTCATGACCTACAATGTAGGTAAAGTTGGTTATTTGCAAGATGATGTCACTTGTATTTAATTATATATATCATGACAAGATCCCACCATAAGATAACATCATATTATATTGAAAAAAATCTCAAAATACACATGTTTTTTAAAAAAATTCAAAATGGGTAAATGCCACATTTGGTCACTGAGATTACTAAATCGTGTCATGTTTAGCCACTAGAAAAAATTAATATCAATTTTGGTCACTTGAATTACTGAAACAGGTCACATTTGGTCACTCTCTTGTAGCCTATGTCCAACTCCGGTCACTCGAATTATTAAAACATGTTACATTTAGTCATTACTGAAACTGGTCAGTTTTAGTCACTCTCCATTTAGCTTCCGTCCAACTCCATTATTCGAGTGACCAAAATTTATATTAAATTTTTCTAGTGACTAAACATGACATGATTTAGTAATCTCAGTTACCAAATGTGGCATTTACCCTTCCCAAAATACACACGTTTTATGAAAGATTCTCAATATACACATGTTTGGGCATCACTGCGGTCGTCAACCGCAGTGAGTGCATTCATCG